TGTCCATGAATGTGCAGCTGTGCACACACACACATATGCAGGCAAGGCCAAACTTTGTGTCTTTCTCTACAACTCTCCACATATTGCCTTGAGACGGGGTCTGTCACTAACTGGAAGGTAGCCTTGCCCCCTGGCTGGCTAGCAAACTCTCAGGGTCCACTTGTCTCCACAGTCCAGAGTTGGTATGGTGACATTCCCATAGGTCTGAGGCACTGGGTCCTTGACATGGTGTGCCCATATATCAACAATACACGTTCACTCGGGAGTTCATCTACTCTTTACATATTCATTCAAGGCTCCCTCCACTCCCTACAGTATTGGGCACACCTGTGATCCCAGAATTTGAGAGGCAGAGGTAGAAGGATCACTGCAGGTTTAAGGCCAGGTTGAGGTTCATAGTGATATCCTGTCTCAAATAAACAACAACAACAAAATACCAGAATAAAACAAACCCACCAATATGCATGGAAACAGCAAATGAAAAGAGCACTTTAACGTGTTATTGAAGCTGCCTTAGGCAGGGTTAGGGCAAGGAGGGAGCTACGTGGTATACAGTCCCCTGCAGACTGCCTTGGTCACTGTTCTGTTGCTGTGAAGAAGCACCATGACCAAGGCAACCAAAGAAAGCACGTAACTGGGGCTTCAGTTTCAGGGGTTTACTCCATTATCATCCTGGCAGGAAGCATGGCGGCAGGTATGGTGCTGGAGTAGTAGCTGAGAGCTACATTCTGATCCACAGGCAGAGAGAAGCTCAGCCTGGTATGGGTTTTATTTAGATTTTTTTGAGGCAGGGTTTCTTTGTGTAGCTCTGGCTGTCCTAGAAATCACTTTGTAGACCAGGCTAGTCTCGATTATTATCATGGTCCAGCCTTAATTATCTTCCCAGGGCCCAGAAGAGAAGCTACGAACATTGAGAATTATTTTCAGGAAAAGAATCTAAGTACACCGAGCTCTTAGTCCATCTACTTTATTCCTCTGGGATAAAATCCTATCTACACAGCTTCAGTTCTGTTCTCATGCCTAGCTCCTTTCTTCCCTGATTTCTCTCTACATTTATCTGCTGTCCCCTCTAAGTTCTATCTTAAGTCTCTCATCTTAATTCTGCCCCATCTTGGTTTTTCTCATCTTATTCTTCTAGTTCTCCATCTAGTTCTCAAGTCAAAATCCTCTCCCAGTCTCTGAGGTTTACAGTTATATAACCATACAATAGCAGTGCTCTAGCTAAAGCAAGGTCACCAGGCTTGAATTCTTTTTTTTTTTAATTTATATTTTATGTATGAGTGTTCTGCGTGTATATCTGCATGCCAGAAGAGGGCATCAGATCCTATTATAGATGGTCATGAGCCACCATGTGGTTGCTGGGAATTAAACTCAGGACCTCTGAAAGAGCAGCTAATGCTCTTAACCCCTGAGCCTCTCTCCAGCTCCAGGCTTGAACTCTTACAGAGTCACAAAGGCAGACAAGAGTTTTTCTCAGGCAGTGACTGCCAGGCTTCCTTTTACAACCCAAAAGGGGAGTGGTAAGGGAGGAGGTCAACTAAGAGCTAAAATCAGTTAATATATCAGACAAAGGGAATTTATGTGCTCAAACTACATTCCTAGAAGTGGTTAAGTAAATGTTAGGAGTCTTTAGCGTTAGTATAAATACCACTAGGGCTGTATAAGAAAGGAGGGTCTGGCTAGGCGGTGGTGGCGAACGCCTTTAATCCCAGCACTCGGGAGGCAGAGCCAGGCAGATCTCCGTGAGTTTGAGGCCAGCCTGGTCTACAGAGTGAGATCCAGGAAAGGCGCAAAGCTACACATAGAAACCCTGTCTCAAAAAAAAAAAAAAAAAAAAAAAAGAAAGAAAGAAAGAAAGGAGGGTTTGAGCTTAATTTACCTTAATGCAGCAGATCTTTTGGCCTTAGATGCTTGATAGGTATTTCAGGTAAAATACACTGTTATGAGTTCTTGGAAGCATACACAGCATACAAGAAAATCATTGCAGAAATCAGCTAGTATATATACAAAAGCTAAAATATCACCAAGACTTCTTAAGCCATGGCTTGACCTTCAGAAAAGTCCTTGACCTTTCCAAGTAGTAGCTTTTGTGATAGTATCTGAATTCCATTACATTTTCCTGTGGCTCGCAGCAGGCTGGCCTGGAACTTGTAGAGATCCTCCTACCTCTGTCTCCCAAGTGCTGGGATTAAAGGCATGGACCACCACTATCCAGATGGGGTGGGCTTTTTTAACCTCAAAGCCTACCCTCAGTGACACATTTCCTCCAACAAGGCCACACTTCCTAATCTTTCTCAAATAGTGCCACTCTCCAATGTCAAAGCATTAACTATCTAAGCCGATGGTGGAGGCATTCTTATTCAAACCACTATACTGTCATACCAGAATATCATGGACTGGGTGTCACAAACAACAAACATTTATAGTCTCATAGTTCTGCAGTTTGGAAGTCTAAGGACAAGTGTGAGCAGGACTGGTATCTGGTGAGGTACCGTGGAATATTAATCTAAGATGTGTTACATTCATTTATGCTGTGGAATATTTGTTTAATGGTGCAAAGACGTGTTGCATTTGTTTGATTAAATGAAATGAACCTGGGGTCAGGAGGCTGAGTCAGCAACTAGCTGACAGGAAGTGGTAGGGAGGAACTAAGTATAGCCAGGGTTCTTAAGTGGGGGTTGAGCAGGAGGATGCCCTGTATTTTGGGAGAGTGAGCAAGGAGAGAAGGTTAGCTGCTTGCTGTTCAGCCTCTCTGAGTGAGCAGAATTTCACCTCAACCTTTGAATCCTGAGTTCTATAGAGGGACAGAGATCTAGATAAAGTTTCCTTTGGCTGTGACAGAGCTGGTGCTGAACCGCTCGCTGCTGGGAGCTGAGGACTTGCCCATTAGGATAGGAGTTGCTTAAGGGGCAGCCACTGCATTTAATGAAAAACAGCAGGGAGGTCCTCTCTTGGGGTGCAGAGCCACCTTCCCGATGTATCCTTACCACGCGTTCTCTCTGTACCTGGGGTGGGGGGAGTAGCTTTTTCCCTCTTATAAGGAGGATTAAGCCAAACTTAATTACCTCCTTCCAGGCTCTATATGCAAATATGGTCACACAGGGCTTCAACGTATAAATGGGGGAGGGGAGCACAATCATAAAGTTCAGTTCATAGTAGAGGCTAAAAGGGCTAGAGTAAGTCAAATCAAAAGAAACAGAGAAGCCAGGCTAGATTGCACCGGCCTGTAATCCCAGCACTGGGAAATTGAGACAAGATGGAAAGTTCTAGGCCATTTGGGGCTACAGAGGGAGACCCTAAAATGGGGTTAAAGTGGAGAGTGAGCAGGGTCCAGATGAAACAGGCTCGTGTAGACTCTGAGCGGCTAGTTTTAAAGGTCCAGAAGAGTTCATCCACACACCCAAAGTCACCCAGCTCAATGTTACGAAGTTTGTCTGTTCTAGCTGATGGGATCTAAAGCCCAGGTCATAGAAAACTCAGAATGGTCCTGATGATATGCTGAATAGGTGTACTTCCTTTTACCTTGAGGAAGCTGGGGTCGAGAGAGGTCAAATGACTTGCCTAAGGTCACACAGCAAGTCTGTGGTAGATCTAGATTTTGTGGGGGCCTCTTTCTAGCCCCAAACCAAGGATCTTTGTTTATGTTCTGCAGACTTCCGGCCTTTATTCTGCCTAGCTTCTTTGCTCATTTTTAAAATTTATTTTTATTTTATGTGCACTTATTTTATGTATTGCCTGCATGTATGTCTGTGTGAGGGTGTTGGATCCTCTGGAACAGGAGTTATAGGCTGCCTTGTAGGTACTGAACCTACTTGAACCTGGGTCCTCTGGAAGAGCGGTCAGTGCTTTTAATCCGAGTCACCTCTCCACCCTCATTTACTCTTTGTGTGTGTGTGTGTGTGTGTGTGTGTGCGCGCGTGTGCGCACGCATGCATCTAACAGATCAAGTGTTATGAAGCACATAGAATGTAGAAATTTGAAAGATATAATCCCTGTCCCCCAGAGTTCTGCCAGGGCATCAAATTACAGACAGGTAAGCAAATGTGGGCATGGGGGAGGGGGCCTGAGAAAGGTGCCAGGTAGTTTAAAATAGAAACAACTGAGGAAGATTTCCCTGAAGAACTGTTCACCTGGTGCAGAAAAGGAAGTGTCAGGGCTGGTTGCTTGTATAGGTCCGTGGTGGGTGCTTGTCTTTGTGATGGCTTGAATAAGAATGTCACCCTTGCCAGTGGTGGTGGCGCATGCCTTTAACCCCAGCACTCAGGAGACAGAGGCAGGTGGATCTCTGTGAGTTCCAGGACAACCAGGACTATTACACAGTGAAACCCTGTCTCGAAAAACCAGACCAAAAAAAAAAAAAAAAGAATGTCACCCATAAACTTGGGTATTTGAAGATTTGGCCCCCATTTGCACTGTTGGGAAGGTGGGCCAGCCTTGCTGGAGGAAGCACATCACCTGAGGGTCTTTCAGTGTTTGCTGCCTGGCCCAACTTCCAGTCCCCACCCCCACCCGTCGTCTCCCCACCACCCAGCTTTTTTTTTTTCCAGACAAGGTCTTTTTTTTTTTTTTTTTTTTTTTTTTTTTGGTTTTTCGAGACAGGGTTTCTCTGTGTAGCTTTGCGCCTTTCCTGGGACTCACTTGGTAGCCCAGACTGGCCTCGAACTCACAGAGATCCACCTGGCTCTGCCTCCCGAGTGCTGGGATTAAAGGCGTGCGCCACCACCGCCCGGCCAGACAAGGTCTTTTTATGTAGCCCTGGCTATCCTGAAACTCACTCTGTAGACTCAGAGATCCGCCTGCCTCTGCCTCTGCCTCCCAAGTTCTGGGATTAAAGAGGTGTGCCACCACTGCTGTGCCCATCCCTGTCCCTGTACCACCCCCCCCACCCCACCCCCCTGGTTGAAGGTGTGATTTCTTAGCTTCTTGCTCTGGCTGTCTGCTACCATACCCTTAAGGACGGACTCTTATCCTTCTGGAACCATAAGTCAAAATAAAAAATCCTTTCTTCTGTAAGATACTCTTGGTCAAATAGTTTGTGGCTAGCCTGGTCTACAGGAGACCCAGTCTCAAAAACAAAACAAAATAAGTGCAATCAAGGCCTGTAATCCTAACACTTAGGGTGTCAAGGTGGTAGGCCTGAAAATTCAAGGCCAGCCTGGATAGATGGTGAGACTCTGTCTCAAAATATCCAAAATCCAGGGAGCTGGGCGTGTAGTGGGAGTCGAGCTTGGCAGTTCCCAAGACTTGAGTTCAATCCAGCATTACCACCCCTGAAAAAGAACCCATTGCCTGAGCTGGGAAACTGTTGGCCCCTGCTTCCTCCAATCCTGATGTTGTTGTTGTTCACAAACACCCTGGGAAGTTTTTCTTTCTTCTTCGGCTCATCTTGCTAATCCCTCACCAGACTTGCTAAGGAGAACATCTCGCTTCCTTTCTTTCTGCTCATTCCCCACCTCTCACCAGGATGATGGGGCTGCACTGGGGCTTGGCATAGAGATCTGTGGAAAATGAAAGGGCTGAAGCTGTGTATGGGGAGAGAAGAAAAAGGAGCATCAGGGCTGTAGAGGTGGCTCAGCCATTGAGAGCATGTGCTACTCTCCCGGAGGACCTGAATTCAGTTTCCATTATCTACAGGCAGTTCACAACTACCTGTGACTCCAGGTCCAGGGCATCCAATGCCTTGCTCTGGGGCACTCATGTGCACCCATCCCCATCCCCAAATAACTAAAAATAGAATCTTTGAATTAAAAGAAAGGAAATGTAGTATGGGTTTCTCACCCCTCTTTGAGCAGCTCGGCTTCCTGCACTGCCCGCCCCCCATCCCCACCCCACCCCCAGCCTTGTTTGACATATTCAACTTCCTGCCCCACCAGAGGAAGTGGGGAGCAACACCAGGTGCAGAGACAACCAGCCGAGCCATGGTGAGTTCTGGGGCCCAGGAATCTAGGCATCTGGCCCCCCCCCCCCCCGAGGGTCCCCAAGTCAAAGTGAACCCACAGTCAGCGACTCCCCAGCTTTTGGGCTCAGGTGGTGCCGGGCACTCCTTGGCATGTCCAGGAGCTTCCTATGGTTGTCCTGTCGTGTCCCCCCGCCCAGGACAAGGAGTACGTGGGCTTTGCTGCACTCCCCAACCAGTTACACCGCAAATCTGTCAAGAAGGGATTTGACTTCACACTCATGGTGGCAGGTCTGTGGGGTCTGGAGAGAGGTCGGGGTGTACTCCGGAGATCCGGCCATCCTCCCAGCTGACTCGTAGGCCTGTCCTGTTCGCAGGGGAGTCAGGCCTCGGGAAATCCACCCTCATCAACAGCTTGTTCCTCACCAACCTCTACGAGGATCGGCAGGTGCCAGATGCCAGTGGTAAGATCTGCCCGCCTCCACCCCTACAGGCTCCCCACCCCTACGGGCTCCCCACCCTGCTGCTGTCCTGGTCTACTCTCTGTGGTGTCCATGGCCTCTTCCTGTGTCACCAGACTGTATTCTTTTTCTTTTGGTCTGGGGACTTGGATGGCCACTGGTTTTCTCTGAGACTGTTTCCTCCCCTGGAACGGAGCCCTGCTTCAGAGCCCTACACAGCCAACTTCTCCACACCCACAGCACGCGCCACACAAACTCTGAGCATTGAGCGCCGAGGTGTGGAGATCGAGGAAGGAGGTATCAAGGTGAAGCTGACCTTGGTGGACACGCCTGGCTTTGGGGACTCTGTGGACTGCTCAGACTGGTGAGGCGGGGGGATGGATAAGAGCTAAGCCTCTCTTCCACTATGGAAGACCACGGATCCATTGTGGGCTGGTTTGTCATGGCTCCTTGGCCTAAAAGGAGGAGGCACCTGTTTCTGGAAACAGTCTGGCCCAAAGTGTCCAGTGTTTCTTCTTTTGAGAAAAAGGTTTCTCTGTGTAGCTCAGGGGCCTCAAATTCACTCTGTAACCCAAACTGGCCTTAAACTCAAAGTCCTCCTTCCAGGATTACAGACTTATGCCATGGCTGGTTCAGTGCCTTTTTTTTTTTTCCCCCAGTTGCTTGTTTTTGCTTTTTGGGATGGTGTCACATTAGCCCAGGCTGGCCTGGAACTCACTATGTAGGCCATGCTGGCCTCAAATGTGGTAATCTTCCTGCCTGGGCTTCCTGGGTGCTGGGATTACAGGCGTGGAACCACCTCACGTCTTGATGTCTCATCCATGCCCTTTCCAGTTGCCCCTGATGACCTTGGTTGGAAGCAAAGAACTTTCTTCCCACCCACAGGCCTGGCTAGCTCCATTCTGTTCCTTGCCCTGTGATCTTAGACTATACCTCTCCCCACACTCCAGCTGGCTGCCAGTGGTCCGATTCATTGAGGAGCAATTTGAGCAATACCTCCGGGACGAGAGCGGCCTCAACAGGAAGAACATCCAGGACTCCAGAGTCCACTGCTGCCTCTACTTCATCTCTCCCTTCGGCAGAGGGTCTGGAGGGCACGTGGGGGTCGAGGGACTGGGAGACTGGATAAGCCTCTGCACTCTGGAGCTGAGCCCCATCAATTCCTGCTGCAGGCTCCGGCCCCTGGATGTGGCTTTCCTCCGGGCAGTGCACGAAAAGGTCAATATTATCCCAGTCATCGGCAAAGCAGATGCCCTGATGCCTCGGGAGACTCAGGTCCTCAAGCAGAAGGTATGGGTGAAACCTGCCCTTCAGCACTGAACCTCACCTCTGCTTGGACTGGTTTTTTTTTTTTTTTTAATCTTGAGGTGGCCTTTTTTAGAGCAGGAGTTATTAGGCTAGACTGAGGGTGGGTGGTATGAGGAAAGGGTGTATGAACCTGCAGCCATGTCTGTCACAGCTCTGAACAGAATGACTATACAGCCCTGGAACTAGATGCTTGGCTAGGGCTGGTCTGAGGAAAAGCGGATGGCCACCACAACTCCTGGCATCCATTTGGTCCAGTGATAGTGATGACTCCCTGCCCCGCTGTCTTTAGAGTGCTTTCCCCTGTCCCACTTCCGGGAATTTTGGTGTCTGTCCTGTCTTTCTGCATTTCTCACCATCACGTCTCAGGATTTGGTTTTGGTCATTTTCTGTGGTCACCTCTCACTGTCTGTTCTTCACATCTTTCTTTCCCTCTGACTACCCAGTATCTCTGTACCTCACTGTTTCTGGCCATGCAATGTCGGTTGGTCACACCTCAGTTTCCCCCTCTGTCCGCTCTGAGATCCGGGACCAGTTGAAGGAGGAGGAGATCAACATCTACCAGTTCCCAGAATGTGACTCTGATGAGGATGAAGATTTCAAGAAGCAGAATGAAGAGATGAAGGTTCGACGGGTGGACGTGGAAGGGGCAGGGAGGCGGAAAGCAGGAGTGGAGGTGAAAGCATTGAGAAAGAGGTGTATGCCCAGGAGGAGCCAATGTGACCCCTGATTCCAACCCTGTAGGGAAGCATCCCTTTCGCGGTCGTTGGTTCCTGTGAAGTGGTGAGGGATGGCGGAACCCGGCCAGTGAGGGGACGCCGCTACTCCTGGGGTACCGTGGAGGGTAAGGCCAGGCATGCACTGAGAGCTCAGTCTGCACCCTCTGTGAAACTGGAGGTGGGCTCTAGTCCTGGGAGTTCCTAGAAGCCACAAGAGGGATCGATCCTCGGGCTGCAACAATGAGATACTCCCAGAGGGCACAGTCTAAGGTTGGAGTTTGACGGAAAGCTACCTGGCCCGCCCTCTAGTGGAGAACCCACATCACTGCGATTTCCTAAACCTGAGGCGGATGCTGGTACAGACCCATCTTCAGGACTTGAAAGAAGTGACCCACGATCTGCTCTACGAGGGCTATCGGGCTCGCTGCCTACAGAGTCTGGCTCGACCTGGGGCTCGGGATCGAGCCAGCCGCAGGTGAGAGCCGGGCTACTTTGGTGCTTCCATGGCGCCACTCTTTGGGCAAGCCTTCCTGACAGGTCCTGCTACCAGGCTTAACTCCGCCTCCCAGGTCCAACTAAGGCTCTCCCACTCCGTCCCTAACCTCAGGGACGAGGTCCCGCCTCCTACACCCAGAATTCGCCCCACGGCTAGACCCACAACTTCAGACCCCGTCCTTGTTTTCTGACCCGATCCCCCCCACCCCCCACCCCACTTCTAGCAAGCTTTCCCGGCAGAGTGCCACAGAGATCCCGCTGCCCATGCTGCCTCTGGCTGACACTGAGAAGTTGATTCGCGAGAAAGACGAAGAGGTGAGCAAGCACATCTCTTTCCCTCTAATCAGCTCCCTAGATCCCACTCCGGCCTTGCCCGGTCCCATTGCTTGCAATCTCGCTCCTCACAGCTGCGCCGCATGCAAGAAATGCTGGAGAAGATGCAAGCTCAGATGCAGCAGAGCCAGACTCAGGGCGAGCAGTCAGACTCACTGTGAGACCCTCACCGCCGCCCGTCTGCTCGCAGCCAATCTCCGGTCCCATCCCTGCTCTAAACTGTCCAGCGTCCAATCCGGAGACCCAGAGGGTAGGCCCGCCCTTGCATTTGAAACAGGTCCCTCCAATCCGGAAGTTTGTAGCCCCGCCCAAATCTACCTTCCGTGCTGTTCTGAGAGGACCGCCCTCTGACTCCTGAAGGCAGGTTCCACTTGGGGTATCCCTGTTCCTCTAAGTTCTCCATATAATAAAAACTGCTTCCCCCACCCACCCCGAGCTGCCCGAGTCTTCTTAGCAGGAATGGAGCTGCGGGCTGTGGGCCTCCCGGCCACTAGTCATTCCACTCCAGCCTTGCTGGACAGCCTCCTGCCTGAGTTCGCGCATAAACATACTGAAGTTGCCACCAATTAGAAACAAAGACCAGTTGAGTTTTATTGAGGGTCGGGTGAGAGCTGGGGAGGCTCGATGCCTATCTAGGTCTTCTGAGACCTTGGGTCCCCTATTCCTGGTCCTTAGCGTCACCGTGTGTGATGACATAGCAGATGTTCTTGTAGTCTACGTTGCCGCCCACGTCTGGAGGGAAGGCTGCCCACATGTTCTTGATCTGTGGGAAGGTACAGGAGTAGGTCTAGGACCGGTCCTCGAACTCCCATTGCTGGAGCCCCTCCCCTTCCCAGGCCCTCCCCAACTCACCTCCTCCTGGGAAAATCTGTCACACTGTGTGGTAAGCAGCTCCTCCAGGCTGAGAAGGTGACATTCGGGGAGGTGAGGTTGGGTTCATGAGTCCTGTCCCCTCTCATTTCATTCCTTGCCACCAACCCCCCATTCTTCCCTGAAACCAGGGTGGCTCCTTTTAGTTTGGCTCATCTCGCAAACGCTGTGGCCTGCTGTCTCAAGTTTCTCCCTTAGTGGCTCAGTCCCTGCGCACTCATTCTGTCAACCTCGGACCCTGACATAGGGACTTAAGGAGACCCTGGTGGAGCTATGGGGTGGGGGCACACTCACAACTGCTTCTTGATGGTGCCCTTCCCCTCTGGGTCCAGGACCTTGAAGGCTCCAGTGATCACATCCTCAGGGTCGGCACCTGAAGGGTCAGAGGACACATGAGTTCAGCAAGCCTCCGAAGGTCGAGGAAGAGGCATCTAGGGCCTTGGACGGAGGACACTTTACTCACCCTTAAGCTTTTCCCCAAACATGGTCAGGAAGACAGTGAAGTTGATGGGTCCACTGGCTTCCTTCATCATGGCATCGAGTTCCTCATTCTTCACATTGAGACGGCCTGAACAGGGCAAGCAACAGGGGTTGGAGTTGGGTGCTGGGGGCCAGAGCTATGCTTCCCATAGACATATAGCGACTCATTCACTTCTCATGTGGGCAGACTGAGGCCCAAAGCCACTGGATTCCCCTCAGCGCCCATAGCTTTCGCTGTTTACGGATGGGAGTAAGGGCTCACCCATGGCTGCAAAGGTGTCCCGGAGATCCTCCTTGTCAATAATGCCATCCCGGTTCTGGTCAATTACGGTAAAAGCCTGTGGAGAGTGGGGGTGGAAACAGATGAAGCCAGGAATGGGCCCATGGCTTCAGCATTACTGCCCCAGGCAGATCAGATTCTGGCTCTCTGCCAGCTGACTCCCTCCACCCTTCACAGGCGTGGAGGAATTCTAAACCCTCCTCCTCCCTCAACAGGTGCACTTCCCAGGGAGGGGGGAGGCTTCCCTTAGCTTCCCTCACTCACCTCCTTGAACTCCTGGATCTGAGTCTGGTCAAACATGGAGAAGACATTGGAGCTGCCCCCTTCTGCTGCCCTTCTCTTGGCCTTCTTGGGTGCCTGTGAGGGTGGAGGTCGAGAAGGAGCGTCCAGAGGCCAGTTCCTGGACCTCCCTCCTCGGAGATAAACCAGACTTGTGTTGTTGTTAAAAACGAGGTCTCGTATAGCCCCCAGACTTGCTACTTAGCTGAGGATGACCTTGATCTTCTGATCTCTTGCCTCCATCTCTACCTCCAAGTACTGTTACCAGGGTCATCCTCTTAAGCTGCCACATCCAATTTTATTTGGTTGCTTGTACGTGCTAGGCAAGTACTACCAGTCAACTGAGTTACATCCCCAAACCCTCTTTTTTTTTTTTTTTTTTCTTCTTAAGACATGGTCTCACAGCCTGGTGTGGGCTAATCCCAGCACTCGGGAGGCAGAGGCAGGCAAATCGCACTGAGTTTGAGGCCAGCCTAGGCTACAGAGTGAGTTTCAGGACAGCCAGGACTATTACACCAAGAAACTCTGTCTCAAAAACCACAAGGAAAAAAAATAGACATGGTCTCACTAGTTAGTCTTGGAACTCATTATTTAGACCTTGGCTTTCCTTGATGTCACAGAGATGCTGGAATTAAACTCCTGAGTGTTGGAATTAAAGACATTCATCATCATCCCCAGCTCCTCCTTCTCTTTCTTCTTCTTTTTTTCTTTTTCTTTTTGAGTCCAGTTCTCATTATATTGCTCAGGCTGGTCTTGAACCCCTGGCTCCAGTGATCCTACCCCTCAGCCTTGAAAGCAGTTGAAATTATGGGCATACATCACCACCATGCCTGATCAGATCAGAGTTCTTTGAGTCCCTTCTTCTAAAGTAACTTTTTTTTTTCATCTCTTGGCTAAGGGGGCTTCTTTTGGCTGCCTCTATTATGTTCCAGCTATAGCTCCCGGGTCCCCTCATCCTGTCTGATAAGTGCCCTTCTCAGGATCCTTGGCCTGCTAACTTGGCACCCATACGTGCTAGCTTAATCCACTCATTGACCCTATCTGAACCTCTAATTCTCACTTATAAAATGAGAGTGGGATCATCTCACTGGTCCAAGGACTTTAGAGAGACAACAGAAAGGGATGGAACAGACTTCGAGCAGGTCTAACGCCCTCCCCATGGTTGACATCCAAGCACACTATCTTTGACGGAGTCCGTCAGCCTACTACCCTATCCTCTGGCCCCATTCTGGTCCTGAGAGAGGATTCATATCTTACCTGTACTTAGACTGAGAAGCACCAACTTTTTTTTTTCTTTTTTCTGAAGGGCGAGGCTACCCTGAGCTAATAGTTTGGACTGCAGCTGGGGATTCTCACTCACCATGTCTTAGATCTCCTGGGGGCAAGGCAGAGGCTCCAGCTGGAAAAGGCAGAGAGAGACTCTGCTTGGGGCAGCTCTTCTGGGGTTATATAGTCCTGCCCTCACAGCCCGTAATATACCATGGTAACCTTAGCCCTGTGGATACCCACCCCAGATACTAAAATAGCCCGGCTCAGGGGCCTCTCCTTTCTTGGAGGCCTGCAGCAGCTGGAGCCCAGAAAGGGAGGAGGGAGTAAGTCTTGGGATGCAAGTCTCATTAGGATAGGCAGGAAGGGATGTTCTTTCTCCCAAAAGGGGACTGGATTGTGCCAGAATTCAGGGGGGCCCCAGCCAACCCATAGTTCTGGGAGAGATGAACCAGACCTTTGAGCCCCTAAGTGGGGTGGCTCAGATCTAAACTCAGTAAGCATGTATTGCAGACCTACGATGTGCTTGATTTTGTGGGTTTGCTTTAGCAAGAAGCAAGTGATGACAGTAACAGACTCAGTGATTCAGGTGAGGGTGATGGGCAGACACGCAAGGCAGAAGGCACAGCCCATGGGCGAAGGCCAGAACAGGGAAAGGTCGGCTGTTAGGTTTGCCAGAATTGTGACAGGCCTGGATGTTAAGGGTTGGTGAGCAGATACTGTGGGGTGTTCAAGGACAAGCAGAGATGCTGGTGAACTTGGGGAGGGTTGAAACAAAAGAGGTCTAGTGTGAATCAAGGCTGGACCTCAGAAGAGAAGAGACAAAGACACCCAGAGGGGAGAGTTAGCTGTCACCTTCTCCTAGGTAGCATAGCCAGTGACTTGTCCTTCCTGGGAAGGAACTGGCTTGGCTGACTTTGGGACTTTTAGGTACTCTCTCATAATGTTCTGGGCCTCAGTGCCACATTCTCCTCCATCCAGTAGAAGTCTAGGGAACTAGCAGCAGAGGAAACCCCAGGTTGGCAAGGACACCCATCTCCTCCTGCTCCCTTTAGGACCTGATGTCCTGAGGAATGTGTCCCCTCCCTTCCCCTCCTCCAGTCCATGCCAATGCCACTAAGACATTTTCTTTTCTGGGCACTGGGGCCCAGCCACCTGTTGTCTCTGAGAAGAGAGAAGGAGCCACCCTAAACTTAGCAGCTGCCCTTGGCCTCCTGCACAGCTCCTCCCTGCCTCAGTTGGCGGCTGCTTTGCCTTATATGGGTACCATGGGGGGCTACGTCATGAAGGAGCCCACTCGTTAGTGGGTTCTGGGAGGTGAGAAAGACTCCCAAAGGGGAATGGAATTGGGGGGATGCTCAGTAAACTTGAATCCGATGGAAGGTGGGGACGTTGAAAAGAAGATCTGACAGGTCATTGCAGGATCCAGGTTGGGTTTGAGTTGGGGGTAGGGGAGTGAGGCAACAGGACTGGGGAGCTTCAAAACTCAAAAGCCAGTGGGGAACTGGGAAGTTGAGAGCTGGGTCTCACTAGAATTTGAGAGTGGCAGATGCTGTATGCATTTGGGGGCCCACTAATCCTGGGGCTCAAGAGAACAGAGAACGGAGGAAGTGGTGTGTAGAGGCTAGGTTAGCTCCCATAAGGTCTGGTCTTTACGATTTTGGCCTGAGGGCAACCTTGAGGGCTCATGAAATTAGAGTCTAGGTTAGTAGATAATGAGTACTGAAGAGATGTCATAATGATAGGGCTTGGTTCTTGAATCCTCCAAAGAACAGGAATACAGATATGGAGGGTTCATGGTACTGGGGATTCATAGATTGGGGTTCTGAGATGGAACCCTCGAGAATGAGAGGGATAAAGTTTCAAAAATCGCAGAGTTCAGAGGAGAAGCTCACTTTATATATGAGAATTTAGAGAAACCTGGTCTGAGTTTCCTGCCTGAAACGGAATTCAGAGAGATGAGCCTTTTAGAAGACTCTGAGTGTAGTCTAACTAGAGGCACCGAGGTGGAGAGTACCGGGTGAGGGCACTGGGTTTGTGGTGCAGCTCAGGAGCCGAATGAATGGAGGCCCTTTTGGAAACCCAAGCAGGCCAGCACGAAACTCTTATTGGCTAAGAGCCGCAGCGATGCTCCAGGCCCCTTCTCAGTGATGTCCCCAGCTGTCACCTCCTCTCGCGCTTGTCTCTGGTTGTCACTGACTATTCTTGCATTGGCACCGCCTGCTGGCAGCATCCCTGCCCCTCGAAGCTACCATTTGCTGAGAGTGTTATCTATCTTCCTGCCCTTTTGCAAAGTGAAGAAAGACCGTCATTGGCTGATAAGTTACGCGCAGGTTCAGCCCGCCTCGCTCTAGCTGTCATTCCTTCCTGACCCTCTCAGGAAGTCTACGAAATCTTCAGCTCTTTCTATTGACTGCTGAGGCTGTCATCCCGTGAATAGACATGACTGTGGGGCAAGCCGACCGCCTAGACCCTTTTTCATTGGTTCCCCTTTCTCCGTTTCTATTGGCTAAGGGGTCCTAGGCCCTGCCTCTGACTGCAGCCCCGGCCTCCTTCCCCGCCCTTCCGCGGTCACTCACGCTGCAACGGTGTTTATTGGCCAGGAGGCTCAGGGGCCCTCTTTCCTATTGCCTATTTCCTTCGTCCTGTCTCCGCCCTCCTCATTTCCTCTTTCTAGCCTACCCACCCTCTTCCCGCCTCCAACCCCACCCACCCTTCCATCGATTGGCAGGAACCCAGTTTTCTCGCTCCTATTATCGGTCCAGGTCCTCGGGAGAGGGCGGGAGGAAAAGGGGGGCGCGGGCGGGCCTTCCCTCGCGCAGGCGTAGTCCGCCCAGACTCCGGCGGCTCTTCAGCGTCTGCGCAGGCGCGGCGTCGGCAGCCGGCCCCTCGCTGGGAGGGGGCGGCGCGAGCGCGCGAGCAGGGTGAGAGGCCGGCAGACCCCGGCGCGAGCGCCCCCGACCCCTGGGCCGCCTGCGCGCGCCGCCCGCCGCCCGCCGCCCGCCGCCCGGTCCCGCCCCGCCCCGCCCCGCCCCGCCCCCGGCGCGCGCCGAGCCGCGCCCTTCGCCCTCTCTGCAGCCCGGGCCGGGCTGCTCCGGGGCGGCCTGAGGGGCGGCGCCTTCTGCGGCCTCCGCGGCGGGGGGGATGTGAGGGGCGGCCCACCGCTATGGAGACCGGCCCGGCGCCCCTGGTGGCCCCGCCGCGCCGTCACGGCGCCTCCGCGGCTGCCCCTTCGCCCCCGCCCCGGGGTTCCCGGGCTGGGCCGGTCGTAGTGGTGGCACCGGGACCGCCGGTGACTACGGCCACGTCTGCCCCCGTCAACCTGGTGGTCCCCGGGGAAGCTCAGCCCGCCTGGGTTCCAGGATCGGCACCGACCACGGCCGCGACGGCCGCGACGGGCGCGACGGGCGCGGGCAGCACGGTGGTGGTGCTGACCCTGGAGGCCTCAGCCGAAGCCGCGAAGACGCAAGAGTCCCCCGCACCGGCGGCGGCGGCGGCGGCGGCGGCGGCGGCAGAGGCAGGAGCAGAGACGTCGGTGGCCTTGGCTTCGAGGGCAGACACTCCGAAGACGGAAGAGGCTCGAGCCTCGCCCGTCCCAGGACCCGGGACCCCCACTCGGACCCCTTCCAGGACGGCGCCTGGAGCCCTGACTGCCAAACCCCCGGTTGCCCCCAAGCCGGGAACCACAGTGGCTTCAGGAGTGACTGCACGGGGTGGAGCGGGCCAGGTGACAGGTGGACATGGAGCTGCTCCATCAGCACCGGCAGGGCCCGCGCCGCCGCCGGACGACCCCTCAGGGCCTGTCGCAGGCCCTCCCGGGACGTGTGAGGCTCCGGTGGCTGTGGTGACGGTGACCCCGGCTCCGGAGCCTGCTGAAAACTTTCAAGACCTGGGCTCCACGTCCAGCCTAGGACCTGGCATCTCTGGGCCTCGAGGGCAAGCCCCGGACACCCTGAGCTACCTGGACTCCGTGAGCCTCATGTCCGGGACCTTGGAGTCCTTGGCGGATGATGTGAGCTCCATGGGTTCGGACTCGGAGATAAATGGGCTGGCCCTGCGCAAGACGGACAAGTATGGTTTCCTTGGGGGCAGCCAGTACTCAGGCAGCCTGTGAGTACACCGTGGACACCCCGTGGGGCTGCCTGTGGAAGCTGGGGTGGGGGAAGGCGAAATGATGCGCCTGGCCAGTCCTGACCCAGGGAGTCATGAGCAGGATCTGTAGTGCCCAGAGCATCCTGATGCTTCTGTGACTTCAGAGTTGGGGATCAGGGATCAAGGCAGTTATCGGGGTTTAAGCCTAGACCTTGCCTAGGTCTGTGTCCTTGAGCTAGTAGTGTCCCTGTTCCCGTGCCTCAGTTTCCCCTGTGGATTGAAGGGTTGAATGAGATGATACCTGCTAAGCAGCTAAGATGCTAACTGCTTGGTATGAAACTCTTAACAAAAAGGCCAAATATTCTGGAAGGTGGGTTGGACCAGGGTTCTGGTAGACACCTTGGGTCCCTGAGGGCGAGAAGGATGCAGGCACCTTCAAAAAGGCAGTAGGCAGAAGGGTGTGGGGAGGAAGTCTGGTTGATGGAGGAGAGGCCCCGAAGGCAGGGCTTCTGTGAGAGAGCAGGCTTGTATTTTCACTGAAGGAAAGGGATGGGGTGGCCTCTTCCCCATTTCCTCATCTCCCCTACCCTAGTCGGACTTTCCTAGTTCCTTCCAGGGAGGGGCCTGAGTCACTCCTAAGGTGGGGGTGTGATCGCTCTGACTTCTTCCTTCCCCCTCTCTGGATCCTGACCATTGCTCCTGTGCTCTCTTAACCTGCTCGCTAGTCAGTAACCTGGTTAGTGCAGCCTCGAGCATCGCCCAAGGACACTGCAGCCAGGCCTGTACTGAGCAAGACTGAAGCAGTACTATCAGGGAGTTCTTCTGGAGGGAATGCCTAAACAGCTGGTTTCAATATAGTTGGTTGGGGTTAGCCTAGAGATCAGAGGGTTTTGTGAGCACCTGGATGTGAGAATTCTGCTGAAGAGGCTGTCAATCAGGAAGATGGGGGGGGGGGGAGTACTACAGGCAGGGCTTATAAGCTAACAAGACTCAGAAAACTTGATTGGGCACCAGCACTCACCGTCAGAACTCCACTGACTGAAGTTTGGCTCTGGTCCTTTCTCCCGCACCTTTTTCAGCTTATAAGAGACAAAACTAGCGCCCTTGATTTCCTCCCTCAAATAACGTGGATCTGTGACCAGTGGACACTCCTCAGTACCAGTCAGAGGAACGTGGGTCAAATTCAGTTTTAGAATATTGTTCCTGTGTCAGGCACGGTGCTGGGTGCCGTTTCTCTTTCTGTAACTGTCACTTCAGAATCTGTCTTCCATGCCAGAGGAACTACCTCCGAGACAAGGCTGATGGTAATATATTAGCGCGAACACTTTTTCTCTTACAGGGTAAAGTCCACGCTTTGTGTGCCAGGCTCTGTTCTAAATTAGCAGTGGATTATTCAGGCCTATCCACCTGCCAGGAATGCCCTTCTTCCCCTCTCTGCCTCCTAGTTTCTCTTCACTCCTTTTGGTACACCGCTGATGTTCTTTCCTTCAGGAAGCCTTCCCTGATACTGCTGTCCTCGTAATAACGACTCTTATGTCACTGCATTTTTCATGTCCTAGTGGACGTGCACACCCTTTCTGTTTGTAAGATTTATCAAAGTTCTTGTGTAGATGGGTGTTTGGCCTGCACTCATGTCTGTGCACCATGTGCATGCAGTACCCAGGGAGGCAGAGAGAGCTTCAGATCCTCTGGAACTGCAGTTTTTTCCGGACCTTGGTTAGCTGCCATGTGAGTGCTGGGAACTGAACCCTGGTTCTCTCCCAGAGCATCCAGTGCTGTTTGAGCTGGGCCATCTCTCCGGTCCTTCCCTGCCTTTGTAAGTGCTGGTGTTCCTAAGGGCAGGAAAGGCAACTTACTCTTCCCAGCTCTGAGAGTGTGGAGCTGATTTCTGACAGAAATGAGAGATGACGTCTCTGTTTAGGGAGTATCTAGCACAAAATAAATTAATATATGATGAGCTCATATTTAACAGTCTTTTTTATGCTCTTTGCTTGATTGGTTGGTTGTTTTGTTTTGTTTTGTTTTTTTTAGATAGGATTTCTCTGTAATAGCCCTGGCTGTCCTGGAACTCTCTTTGTAGACCAGGCTGGCCTCAAACTCACAGAGATCCACCTGCCTCTGCCTCCCCAGTGCTGGGATTAAAGGTGTGTGCCACCACCACCCAGTTTATGCATTTTTCTTACAGTCCTCTGAGTCTAGGTAGTGGCATCCTGGTGATAGCCGAGGACAACACCCAGGTCACTCACATGGCAAGACTTCCTGGCTTCTAAGGGGCAGAACTGGGTTTTGACTTAGTTTGTGGAATTTCTAAAACCCGTGCTCACTCGCTCTTCCATTTTGTCTCCTGGAACTGGTTCCTGTAAGTAACCAACCATTGCCAGACAGATGGAGCTGACAGAACAGTATCAGGGCAGGAGCATTCATTTGGTTGGGAATCTGGGAAGGTTGCAAAGAGGGGGAAAGGAAGTCACAGATGGTCCAAGAAATCTCGTGTCTCATAGGCTAAAACGAGAGGTCACGACGTGTACTAAGTGAGCCCCCACTATAGGCAATTGACAAGTCCTTTCAGGTGGATATTGTTATTTTCTCTACCTTACAAATGAGGAAACTGAGGCCTAGAGAAATTAAGTGATTTGTTCAAGGTCACGCAATGGTTAAATGGTAAAACTAGGACTTAGATCCAGATTTAATACAAAATGTGACTTATATTTAATTATTATTATTTTTGCAGTGCTGGGACTGAATTCAGGCCCCTTCACATGCAAGACAAGCACAGTGTCACTGAGCTACATCACTAGCCAGAATGTATCTTGTCAGTATTTACCAAAATTGGATATGTCAGAAATGGGATTTGAATTCTGGGTGTAAAGATCCAGTAGAAAAGGAAGCCTTTAAAATGTGGTGGACAAGGCTTTAGATGGCCAAATATTGAAATTTTGATCTCACAATTTCTAGTTTCTCAGTTGAGCCTGAGGGAACTGGCTGGCTCAGTTTCCCCAGTAGCCTGGGCTCTGTACTACTGCCACTGACCTCTTCCATACTTACTCTGATTCTGCAGAGAGAGCTCTATTCCTGTGGATGTGGCTCGGCAGAGGGAGCTCAAATGGCTGGAAATGTTCAGTAACTGGGATAAGTGGCTGTCACGGCGTTTCCAGAAGGTTTGAGGGCTGTATGGTGGGTTGGGCCATGTGCAGGGGTGGGGGAGGGGCAGTGCTGGAAAGCCCAGAAACTATCTGCCCTCCTAACACATTGAAGATCAGTGGTGCTTTAGTTTAGGCCTTGGAAGGAGGAGCTTTAAACTGTAGCCAGGCCAGGTCCAGCTTTGTCACATCTGGCACGTGGGAGGAATGTCTCTGGGAGCCTGATGGCTGGTGGGGAAAGCTTGGAGAATGTTCCAGCCATGAAGCTGTCACCCTTGATGCTACTCTGCCTTAGGTAAAACTTCGCTGCCGGAAAGGGATCCCCTCATCTCTCAGAGCCAAGGCCTGGCAGTACCTGTCTAATAGCAAGGAACTTTTGGAGCAGAACCCGGGCAAGTTTGAGGTTTGTGCAACTCCAAGGTGTGGAGGGAGACACATGGCACTGTCTCTGTAGGAGAAGTCAGTTCTTCCAGATCCTGAGGTAATCCCTGCTCTCCTGTTGTAGGAGCTGGAACGGGCCCCTGGGGACCCCAAGTGGCTGGATGTGATTGAGAAGGACTTGCATCGCCAGTTCCCTTTCCATGAAATGTTTGCTGCTCGAGGAGGGCATGGGTAAGAGCCTGACTGTGTGGGTCAGTTAGCAAACATCTGTGAAGGTTCTGGGTAGATACAGGGCTTGCTCCAAGCAATTCTTGCCCTCTAGGGTTCTTAGAAGACTGATTGTTAATCG